TGAAGGTAACAGAACATGACTGTATGTCCATGTATGTCAGATAGTGGCTTTGATGAAGACAAAAGTTTTGACTTGATCATTATTAATTACATTAAAATTCCTATTTAAATTAAAGGCAAGGCAGGGCAAATTTATTTGTATAGCACAATTCAGTACAAAGACAACGCAAAGTGCTTTACATGATTAAAATATAGGAAAATAAACCAGAATTAAAGCAAGTAGGAAAAAAAGACAAACAAGAAAAAAAAACAAGAAAGAACAATAAAAACAGTTGGACTAAAAAAAAAAAAAATTAAAGCCATTAATACTACTTTTTATGATGGTCTGTTACAATACAAATGTAGTAATAAAGTAAATGTAGTTTTTTTTTTTTTGCAATATTTAATTTCAGTTTATATTTAATTTAGAAATTTTGAAAATCCAAATTATAAAATTTCCCTAAGATATAACGAGTTTATAGGATTTAATGGGGAATGAGGCTTTGAGTCACGTGACGGTTGATCAATAATGACGCGCGCTTGGAGCTGTGCGCTGGGATTGGATAAAAACAAGAATCATCTGTAATTGGTTTCCTGCAGGAAACTTCAAAGTAAAAGCCTCTCGTTTAGGAATCTGTGCAGTGAATCCCTCTGCTTTTATTCCAGCGGCAGCTGAATTAAAGCTGGGCTTTGTTTCCGTTCAGAGCGCGGACAGCTTTGCTGCATCGGCCGCTCTCTCCGTACAAGTGGAGCGAAGGCGTATTTAGAGGATAACCAGCGCGCACTGAGAGCCTAAAGACAACCTACCACCGCTGCAGAGAGCCTTCCCTCAGAGCCGGACGGACACAGCGGGGCCCTGAGGACGGGACCAGGGACTGTGTGTTTGTAGTAAATGGCCACATTTGTTTCCTGAGGGGAGACGCTCCTGCCTGTTAGACTATAGAAACGCCAAATGCATCCAGGAAAATAGGACGTTGGGTGTAATCCAAACGCATTGGAAGTTTCTTTGAACGATTTAGTTTATCCTGCTGCAGACATGGACGAAGATAATCAAGGTGAAGCCAGTTATTCATTGCAGTTCTTTACTACTGAATTTTTTATTATTTTAACTATTATTACTGTATTATTCAAAGCATTGTTATTATATTTGATCTTAAATATTGCATACATCACAACACAAATAGTATGTTTTTCCAAGATGTCATCTTAAATGGAAATCCCTGAAATATGATCATGCTGTGATAATTTCAAGTTCACTAAAACAGTTTCTCTCCGAGATGGGTTTAAGTGAGGTATAAAGGTTAAACTAGACTTGACAGGTGATGATAAAGACTCAGCAAAGCCATTTAGTGTGAATGGATAAGTATGGATGATTGACAAAGCATCAATGTCATTACTGAAGACTCCCAGTGCTGAAGTGAATGGACTTGTTTCTTTTTACCTTTTGCCAGCTGTGCTGCTCATTTGACTTTGGCAACAGGTCCAACAGGTCTTCATAAGGTCACTGCAGCATATACCTTTGGGACAGGGATCCATTCCCAGATTTTTGTCTGAAAAAAGCTCACAGATAATCAAGGCAAGGCATCCAAAATAGGTCTTTGGAAAATGTCAGACTATATGCAGTTCAGTGTTTGGAAGAGTAGCACACTTTTAAACTAAATGCAGCTGTGCAAGCCTCAGTCCTCTGACTAAACAGTATGCAATGAAACTAGACCCATAAATATTTGTGCTGTAACTCTAAATAACCTACAGTCATGGCCAGTTTAGTATGTACAAATTCCCCATAACCTGATTTTGCACAGGGCATATGAGTTCAGGACTTAAATATTTAATAAAAAACCTTTTATTAGTATTTTTAAAAGTCTGGCCAAGCTAAAGTATTCAGACCCTGTGTACTTTTCTAATTCTTTTTTATTATTATTATTTTTAAATCACAAACATTATTTGGTTTCAATTGGATATAATGTCCCCTACCAGCTTTATGCGGGGCATAATGCAAAGTGGAACACCAGTGATAGATAGGTGTCAAAATTTTTTTTTTAAATAGAAATCTGATAATGTGGCAGCTATTTAGTAGCCTCGTGAGACCATCCTGATCTCGCGAGCTTTCAAGGTGTCACTCGCAGATCAGTCTGGCTACTTTCCGTTAAAGAAAATTTGGAGCAGTTCACCAAATGAACGTCCAATCAGCGTTGGCTTTGAGGCGGGTTGAGGTGTGACGCAACGAGAAGCGCGACAGTTCAGTCTAAAGAACATGGTGGCTTCAGCTGATGAAACTAGCGTTAGCGTGGCTATCGAGCAAGTTTTATCGGAATTAGAGAGTATTTCTTCACTGAAAGAAGAGCAAAACACTGCTCTGGAGGCTTTTCTCAGAGGAAAATATGTTTTTGCTCTTCTCCCGACTGGTTTCGGCAAGAGTTCGATCTATCAATTGGCTTGTGCTTGGCTTGTGGTTGTGTTTTCGTCGTCGCCCTGTTAGTACGTCCTATGCTTCGTTGATCTGATTGGTTTATTTGGCCCGTCTATCACTAACAAAGGCCAATCAGCTAACCAGTATTTTCGCCCCTTCCCAAAATTACTTCAGCGGAAGGTTTCCAGATGGATATGCGGAGCAAATCCATCTTGGTCTTTTGCTCTTGTGCTGTCCTTCGGGTGTTGAGAGTGATATTGTCCTGCTCTCTTCTCATCACATGTCCAAAGCGTCTATCTCTCCTTTGCATGAAAATTGGTTTCCATGCCGTCTTGATTGTATCAGGCAAGTAGTTAATGGTTGTAAATGGTGTCAGGCCAGAGGATTTTCAGGTCCTCTAGGCGAGGGGGTTTGGCACAGACCTAACAATCCTACTCTAATGTTACGGAAACCACAGGCCTTGTAAGGAGGGCATGCATCAGAGATGCAAAGAGGCCCATTGCAACTTGCAGAGATGAGTATTTATTGAAGAGAAAGCCAACGTCCCGTTGGAAGTTTACTTATGGCCATGTCGGGTAGAAACCTCACTATAAACAAAACCATTCCTACGGTGAAACATCATTGATGGCAGGGTTATAATGTGGATCTGTTTTACTTCAGCAGTAATAGGAAAGCTGGTTAGATTCTGTTCGAAGGGGCATAAATCTAAACAAAGGACGTTCATGGAAGAAAACCTGAAGCGTTTACCAACTCAATAGTTCAAACTTCTTCATGAAAAAGTTGCACTTCTAACAGTAACATGCAACTTTGCCAAAAGTGTGCCCATCTTATTCCAGGGTAGATGTATCCCAAACTGGTCCTATTCCCAATTTAGCAAACTTTTTTAAGCTAGGTTATCATCACACACTCATAATCTGCAGACGAGGCATCCTTACACCAGTGAACTCATCCTCATTCATAAGAGGCTGCTTTGCCCCACATTTTCCCTCTTATTAAAGTTGCAGGATATGACTAATTGCAGGAGTCATGCATATGTTGCACCTGGACATAACACTTAGATTGTGTTGTGTTCAGCCTGCCTGGCTTTAAGTGGGGGTGCTCATTGACGTGGCACCCCCTCAGAGAAACAAATGTTGCTTTGATGATCCACAAGAACTGTCAACAGCCTTGAGCATGTAAACACATTTATACAGAGTTAGTTGTAATAGCAGGATGAAACACATGCATAGTATTTTTTCTGTTTTCTCTCAAGACAGATATATGAATTCATGGATGCTGACCAGAAATGCCAAAGTGTGATGTTGAATATAAAAATGAACCTAATGCTGCCAAAAAATGCTGCAGAGCTCCAGTTTTTATTTTATTTTGTCTGCATGTTCTTTAATTTTGGTCTTATGATATGAACAAGCTCAAATCAAGCACGCCCACACTACAGACAGTAGCAGAATATGGAGCTGCAGGGAGGGAAAGCACAGAATGGGGAGTCATGCTGGGGACGATTAAAGCATTAAGCCCTTACTGGCTGATGCTGAAGGTAGGTGGCGGCCAGTTTGACAAGGTTCAGTATGAGTCTGTCATCACTCTTAACATTGCTCACAGTTCTTCAGGCTATAGTTTGAGAGTGATGGACGGCTAAATAGGGACAGACCTAATGAGGCACCTACTGTCTTTGGGAAAACAGAGATAGAGGAGGGTGAAGATGGGGGCACACGTGTGCCACACAGGGTGATTTGTAGTTGTATATGTAGTTGTAACGGGGATGGTGCTATATCTTTTCGGTGAGAAGGAGGTGGCAGGATGAAGAGCCTGAATCGAGATGGAAAATTGCCCATGAAGTAAGCAGCAATGCCAGCAAAAGGCAGTAAAACGCAAATGACAGACGGTTCTTACTGTACCAATTCTACAGGGTTTCTGTCAGTAGAAATCCCTCTGCTCTGTCATAATTAACTCAGTGAACAGCAGTGACCTTCCATGTCAACCCTTCAAACCAGGTCAGACTTTCAACAGGGATTTGTTTCTTTTTTCAATTTCTCCCTCTATGGTTTCCACCTAAGCCTGAAATAAACAGTTTGAAAAGGATTTGTGAAACAAATATCATGTTCTTTTAGCCAAGCAAGTAAGAGAACTGACACGTCTTAGGTTGTTCCAAATATCTAGAATGGTCTGAAATCAAGCTTTATCGGTTTAACTATTCAGTCCAAGAGACTTTGAAGAAGTTCAAAAAACTAATGGCATTCCTGTTCTTTTTAGCTTTTATGTTTGTTTTTGTTTGTTGAGTCTTTCTTCTATGTTAAAAGTATAGTGGAAAATCTTCTTTTGGCTCTTTGTTCTTTATTGATTCTCCTAATTGCCAATTGTTAAATCCTCTTGATGCTCATGTGCACAGCTTGTCTTTAAATATGCTGTGAGCTTCAGTTTCAACCGTTCATTGTAGGTGCTCTGCTCTCACTATATATTTTCAAAATGGTCGAAAGTTGCAAGAAGCAAACAGTTTTCGAACTTTATGACAATAAGAGGAAGGCTTCAGAAGAAATAAATAAAATCGGAATGTATTTGGGAGATTCTGCCACCTGATAACGTTAGTAGTGGAAGAGCAGAAAGGATGGTATTTAGCAGTTATTCGAAAAATAATTTTCTTACCTATATATCTGGAAAAATAATCTACTTTACCTTGAAGAGAAAGTAGACTAGCTCGTCCAGTGGTGAGAAGGTTTATAATTTGGTTTCCACCTTCATCTGTGCAATTCTCCCTAGGATAGTCTTAAAGGTTTGCAAGTTTTCTTTTGTAATGTTCCAACGATACCAAAAAAATATTTTCCCTTTTTTTTGCCAGCCATTATATCAGCTTTGGCCGGGTTGAACCTTTTAAGTTTTGATCATTTTATACATGTCTTTTCACTTGTTACAGTTGTTAACAGCTATAATAGTGAGCAATCCAAGGATTTTCTAGACAATTTCTAGTGCCATTCTTATAAAGCTCTTTTAAGTTAATTTTTGAATTGGAAATAAAAGCAACTTGGTTATAATCTATCCAACCAGCAGGTTATCTGCTATAGAAATCACTCTATCTTGGAGCCTGATGAACTGGGAACTTGTTTTTGCTCGGGAGTAAAAAAATAACAGCTTGATTTCCTTCTTACACATATTGTATCACCTCTGACATCACTGATGCAAAAATGAAAGTACCTGTTAATAGAAATTAAAATGGATTGAAATGGCAATACATGGGTACGAAATAGGGATAATTGAAGGATTTTTGATAGCTTTAAAATTGATTAAAGTTTATTGATATAATCCCTTAAGTATTTAGTTTGACAACTGGAACTTTACCATCATAATGGCTGCTTTATGAATGAAGTTGTCCTTCAAAACTCCAAAAATAAAAGTCTACAAAGTTTTGTTCTGCCATTCAGAACAGAGCAGACAAAATTTAGCATCTTGCAATGCATTTAGCTTATTGATGAGCAATACAAATACCTATCCCTGCTGCTCTGGTGTCCACTTAAATTACCGGTTGAGCTGTGGATTATTATGCTAAACTCCTATTCTCTTACTGCTTCTGGCTCTAGACCACTCTGTTTTACACCCTGTGAAACCCACCATCTACAGTTTAGAGCTTTAAGTGTGTTTCAGTGTGGTTTGTGG